GTTTGCTAAATCATTCCCCAATTCCAGGATATTTTGACTATTTGTTTTGGGCTATGAATAAAGTACAGGTTCTTGTATGAACAAAGTTTGCATTTATCTGGAATAAATGCGCATAAGTATCATTGCTTTTCACATGGAAGTTGCATATTTAATTTTATAAGAAAATAAGCAATTTTCCAGAGTGACTGTACCATTTTCCATTCCCACCAGAAATAAGAATGATCCATTTTCTCTCCTTTCTCACTAGCATTTGTGAGTCGCCATATTTTTACTTTTGGTATGTAGTGACAAACTATATGGTTTTAAGTTTCATTTCCCTAGTGACTACAGGTGTTGAATACTTTTTTTAGTGCTTGTTTTCCACCTGTATATCTTCCTTGGTGAAATGTCTATTAATATATTTAATATATTTCACCATAACAGATTCACTAGTGAATTCTATCAAACACACAAAGAATTAATGTCAATCAATTCTCAAAAACTTCCAAAAAATAGAAGACAAAGAAAATCTTTCAAAATCACTCTACAAGATCAGCATTACACTGATACTAAAGCCAAACAACAATGCCGCAAGAAAGAAAATTACAGCCCTGATTAAGCATAGATGTAAAAATTCTCAGTAACATACTTGTAATCAAATTCAACAATACTGTACAAGTATCATATGCAATGATCAAGTGGGATTAATCCAAGATTACAAGGTTGATTTAACATACTCATTCTGTTAAGGGGAAAGGATGCCCTGAGCGAACTCCACACAGGCTTTGTGGATGCTACCCCCACTCCATCAAGACACTGGGAACTACAAATCCCATGATCCCGAAAGGGAAGTGGTGAGGACCTAAGGCGGAGTTAAGTAGCAATTTTCTCTGTTTGTAAATAAAACCAGCCAAGTTAGCAGGGTCTCGGGTACTTGGCTCACGCTCTTGGCCAAGCAGGTTTGGTCTCAGCAGGTCATTTGGGATTCCAGGTTGGCAAACGGGTAAGACACATTTAAGAATTTATCTCCCTCTTTTCTCCCTGAGTTGTACATTTCCTCATTCCCCTTTCCTTGTAAATAAACCTTTAGTTAACCTTTTGTGTGTGCCTTCAGCGTAAGTCCCCTTTAAGCGCATGGGTGAGGACTGACAGTCAGGCAACCTGTTTTAGAGCAGGGTTGCCCTGTAACAATTCCAGTAAATATGATACACACTTTAACAAAATGAAGGATAAAAATCATATGATTAGCTTAGTAGATGCAAAAAAGTAATTTGACAAAATTCAACATTCACTTATGAAAAATGCTCAACAAAGAAGATTGAGAGGGGACATTCATCAACATAATAAAGGTTAAATATTACAGTCCAGGCCTCGCCAGTGGCGCAGCAGGTTGAGCACAGTGCTGTGAAGCTGTCTGCAGCCTCTGCAGCACCGGTTCGATTCCTGGCTGGACAGAGAGAAACCCACATGGCTCAGCAGACCTCTCTGGCCTTGCCCGCTGCTTCCCTCAGCAGTGTCTTTGGTCCATCTGCCTGTTCTGCTCCCCACTCTGTCTCTGGTGAATTCTTTCACTCTCCCACGCCTCTGACTGTAACCCAGCTCTTGGATAAATAAATAATTTTAAAAAAATAAATAAATAAAAGTTCACAGATGACATCATGTTCAATGGTGAAAAGCTGAACATTTCCCTCTAAGATTAGGAATAATGCAAGGTTGGCACTTTGAATCAACATAGTATTAAAAGTCCTAGCCAAACAAATTAAATAAATAAATAAATAAACGTCAACTAAGTTAAAAAAGGAAAAAGCAATACTGTCATTATTTGCAGATGATACGTTATATGCAGAAAACCCTTAAAGATTCCATAAAAAAACTTAAAATTAAGAAATTTAGTAAAAATGTAGGATGCAAAATCAATACAAAAAATGTTATATTTCTTTTTTTTGTAACATTTTCTTTTTTTAAAAGATTTATTTATTTATACAAGCGCTGGAGTACAGGCCAGAGGCACAGGAGGGTGAGAGGATTCACCAGAGACAGAGGGGAACAGAACAGGCAAACTGACAAAATACACTGCTGAGGGGAGCAGAGGGTGAAACAGGAAAGGTCTGCCGTGCCATGTAGGTATCTCCCTGGCTGGCTGGGAATCGAACCTGTGCTGCAGAGGCCATGGACAGTTTCACAGCACTACGCTCAACCCGCTGCACCACCAGGGAGGCCCAAAAATGCTATATTTCTATACACCAATATTAGAACATATTAATGTATAATGCACGTAATATAAGGAAGAAATGTTTTAATCATTTTATTTTTTAAAAAAATAAAATACCTAGGAATAAATTTAACTAAGGAGTTGAAAGATCTGTATATTAAAAAGTACAAACAGTAATGAAAGAAATTTTAAAAGGCACAGATATATGAAAAGCCATGTGGGCTGGAAGAGTTAATATTGCTAAAATATCTGTACTACCCAAAGTGATCTAAAGATTTAATGTAACTTCTATCAAATTTCTAATAGAAATTTTCACAGAAATTGAACAAATAATCGTAAAATTTCTATGGAACCACAAAAGACAAGGAAATCTGGAGAAAGAAGAGCAAAGCTAAGGTTTCATGCTCCCTAACTTCAAACTATATTAGAAAGTTGTAATAATCAAAGTAATATAGTATTAGCATAAAAACAGACACATAAATCAATGAAACAGAACAGAGAGTACAGGAATAAACGCATACATGTATGCTCAATAAATTTATGTCAAAAGAGCCAAGAATACAAAATAGGTAAAGGACATTCCTTTATTAAATGGTATTGATAAAACTTAACAACCACATGCAAAAGAATGAAGCTGGACCACTATCTTATGCCATACACAAAAACTAATTCAAAATGGATTAAACTCTTGAATGTAAAACCTGAAGCCATAAAACTCCTACAGAAAATATAGGAAGTAAGTTCCTAGACACAGATCTTGGTGATGATATTTTTTAATCCTACATTAAAGACAAAAGCAAGAAAAGTAAAAATAAACAAGTTGGACTACATCAAACTAAAAAACTCCTATAGAACAAATGAAATTATAAACAAAACAAAAAGGCAATATATAGAATGGGAGAAAATATTTGCAAAATGCATATCTGATAAGAAGCTAATAGAATAGCTACATACAATAGCTGGGCTGCAAGGCTGCCCACAGCCTCTGCAGCACCAGTTCGTTCCCCGGCCACCGGCGAGGGTCCCAACAAAAAAAAAAAAAAAAAAAATGGGAAGAGAATCTGAAAGCCAACAGGTAGATGAAAAGCTGCTCAACCTTATTAATAATCAGGAGAATACAAATCAAAACCACAAGAAGACCTGTCAAAACCAAACCGCACCTGTTACAAAGGCTATTATTATTAAGAAGACAAGATATAACAGTACTGGAGAGGATGTGGAAAAATGGGAACCCTCATATACCATCAAAAGGGATATAAATTGTCATAGCCACTATGGTAAAGAGTATGGAGGTTCCTTGACAAAATTTTAAAAAAAGAACTACCATATTATTCAGCAATCCCACATCTAGGTTTCTATCTAAAGAGAAAAAAACACTAAATCAAAACACATATGCACTCCCATGTTCATTGCAACATAATTTACAAAAGCCAATACATGGAAACAACCCAAGTGTCCAACAATGGATGACTATATGGAGAAATTATAATACACACACACACACACACTCACACGGGGATATGATTAAGCCATAAAAAAAAAGAAAAAAATCTTGCCAATCTTTTCGACAACATAGATAGACTTTGAGGGCATTATGAGAAGTAGAATAAGTCAAACACAATAAGACAAATAAGACATGACCTCTCTTATATGGAGAATCTAAAACAAACCAAGGTTACAGGCACAGAAAACTGATATTTGATTGCCATAGGTGGGGCTAGGGATAGGAGAAATGGATGGACTAAAAATAAGGATTTTTCGTTTAAAAAAATACACACACACACACACACACACACACACACACATCAAGTTGGCTGCTAAGGGTAAAATGGGAGTTACAGACCCAGAAGACAAGAGACACAGATCAGTTTAAACTGGAACAGCCTCTAAGAAATGTTCACCTTGGAGAGGGTATGGAACTACACAAGCACAAGAATTGGAACTGATTGGTGCTCACAACTAGTGACAACAAACGGACTTCAGCCAAATCCACTTTCCCTGCTTTCTCAGCCACTGTTTTCTCAGCTTTGTTTTCAAGCTCCAGTCCTAACCTAAACAGACTCCTATTCCTAATACCTCCTAGAGTCTCTCTCATGCTCAGAGAGGTCTCCCCAAAGCACTGTCTTCTTGGCTTTCATTAATCAATAAACACTGACTCCTTGCCTGTCCCACCAGGGTCCATGGAGTCCTCCTTTCAATTTTGATTAGGGGGTCTCGAAGCCTTTCCTGGCCTGGGAGCATGGCCACCTTGATGGGTTCTTCTGACCCCTGACAGGTGGAGCAGCAAACGTTGGTATGTTGCTACCTTAATGGCCCTCGTTTTATGGGGGAGGTTGGGATTAGACAGAGGGGCCCAACCTGTACCCTTGTCCAGTGACATATACATAGGAAAATTTGGGGAAAGGCTAAAAAAGGAGAAAAAATAGGAAATTCTGGTAGATACCTGACTCATAGCATCCTAGGGAAACCCCCCCCCCCCCCGCCGGCGCAAAGCCGGAAGTGCGAGCCTTCTCACCACAGAGGCCCCGGCCCCCTGCGGTGCGGCGTCGAAAAAGGAAGGTGAATTTTCACGTTGTTTCTCATTGGCCATCTATCCTTTTATCTCCCAGGAACAGCAATGCCTTCCTGTTTATCTCATTTGAGTCCTGATAACTCGCCTTAACTTTCTTTAAGCCTGGAGTGCACAGGTGCCTGATGGTTCTTGCACGTCGGGCGGCTCAAGTTGAGGGCACAAAAATCTGACCGGACAGAAATGTGGGGCGGCACTCCGTTATTGGCGAGACCAGGCCGGACAGAAATGTAGGTTGCACCCATTTACAGCGCTGTGGTGTAGGTTCAAGGTGAGGCCGCTCATGCCCAGGGTACCACACCAAACATATTTTTCCCTGTAAATGCTTCACCTAACAAGAAACTTAATGTATCAGTCAGCCCTTTCACCAAGCCAACTTCGGACCCTCTCGGCCCAAGCAGGGCTGACTATATTGTTACCAGCCTGCTTCTCTTTATTTTTTCCTTGCACTTTTTTTTTTTAAAGATTTATTTATTTATGCATACAAGAACTGGGGTACAGGTCAGAGATGCAGGGGGTGAGAGGATTCACCAGAGACAGAGTGGGGAACAGAACAGGCAGACTGACTGAAGTACGCTGCTGAGTGGAGCAGCGGGGCGAGTCAGGAGAGGTCGGTCTTGCCATGTGGGTTTCTCCCTGGCCGGGAATTGAACTCGTGCTGCAGTGGCTGCGGATAGCTTCATAGTGCTGCGTCTTAACCCCTTGCACCACCAGGGAGGCCCCACTTTATTCTTTATCGTATCAAAACTTTCTGCCTTGGGCCTCACCCTCCAGCGCCTCTGGCTTGTACCCCAGTGCTTGCATAAATAAATAAATCTTTAAAAAAAAACAAAAAAAAAAAAACTTTCTGCCTTTAGCCCCATTTTGCCGCTCTCCACTGGAGACTGCTTCATGATGTCTTAGCTTGTTCGTATCAACTAAATTATCGTCTTTAATCACTTTTTGACAGTTTTTGGCAATAAGGAATGAGATCTGAAGGCTGCTACAGCTTATGGAACTAAGAGACACAGACGAAGTGTTTTGGAAACCCTGGAGTTCACCGTTTGTCTCCTCCTTACCTGGGGCTTTCAGTGGGTGAGTCACTCTTGGGTTTGAGCTCTGCTCTTGCGTGCAGTTATCAGTAATATCAAACTTTATTTTGGGACCCAGACGTTTCCAAGATTTGTTCAATTTCTTGGAAAGGTTCTGAGTCCTGGAAAGTTGCCAGGGTCTGTTAAGCTTCTCAGAAAGGATCGAATGTCCAGAGAAGGTTCCAAGATAGTTATATTGGGAGTCTACAATGGGTGCAGCCATTAGAGGACTCACAAAGCCTCAAAGTAAGTCCACAGCATAAACCACTGGGAGCCTTGGGAAATAAATTAAGACAAGAAATTCAGACTGTTTTGACCATCAAAATCAAAATCTTAGTAGACACTATTAAAAAGTCAGACTATTAAAAGTCAAATGTCATCTGGCACTGTAAAAAAAACTAATGAAAAGAGTAATCCATTGCTAATGGTACTCTTGGAAATCAAAGCACAAAATTAGGGGGCATGGCTTAAGCATAAAAATGTTTTGCACTTCTCTAAATAGAGACTGTCTGCATCATGAAGTTTTTAAATAAATTCTGTTGTAGATCTTAAATTATTTTGTTAAACATTTTTGACATTGAATATAGAAAAAAATTCTAAAGGTAGTCACAAAAATCTATCAGAGCTAATATACAAAAATCAGTTGTGTAACTATGCACTAGCAATGAACAATATAAAAATGAGATTATGAAAACAATTCCATTTTTCTTTCCTAATTGCAATAATTATAAAATCTAATATGAAAGTGCACATCTTTGTCATGATCCCAATCTTGGGAGAAAACACTCAGTTCTTCACAATTAAAAAGGATGTTTGCTGCTTTTTATCTGCTTGACAAAGTTCTCATTAGGGACTAGAATAAAACAATTTCATGATTAGGTTTTGAAGTTTATTGAATTTTTTTTTCCTGAGTCTATTGAGGCTATCATGTGGTTTTGGTTCTGTAATCCATTAATATGGTATAGTACATTAATTGATTTTTGGAGCTTAAATCAACTTTGCTTTCTTGAGATGAATATTTCATGAGCATGGTGTATAATTCTCATGCTGTTGATTTTCAGATATTTTTCTATCGCTTTTGTATTTAGAGATTTCTATTCTTTTTTTTTATATTACTTCCTTTTTCCTTCATTGAAAGTAATCTGCTCCTTTTTGCCATTTTCATAATACAGCCTTAAATTATTAACTTGGGACCTTTTTTTTCCTCTCATATAAACTTTCAGTGCTATAAATATCCACTTAACACTGCCTTACCTGCATCTCATAAACTTCAACATGATGTGCTTTTATTTGCACTTCATTCAAAATATTTTTAAATTTTTATTCTGAGGTTTTTTGGTCCATAATTTTTTAAAAGTGTGCTTTTAAATTATCAAATACTGTATATTTCCTCTTTCCTTTGTTTCTTTAATTTAATTTTGTTATTTTCAGAGACATACTTTTAATGATCTCTTTAATTTGAGATCTGTTTTATCTCTAGCATGTGTTCTATCTGAGAAAGTTTGAAAAGAATGTGGATTATGCTGCTGTTGAATGGAATGTTCTAATAATATCAGTTTGGCCTATATGACTTATACTGTTTTTCAAGTCTCCCAGAGCCTTACTGATTTTCTTTATAACCATCATCACTATTGACTGTAGAGTATGGACATCTCCAATTGTATTTTACCCAATTCAAAATTCAGTATTGGGCCTCCCCTGGTGGCGCAGTGGTTGAGCGCTGGGTTGCGAGGCTGCCCGCAGCCTCTGCAGCGCCAGTTCAATCCCCAGCCACCAGCGAGGGTCCCACAAAAAAAAAAAAAAAAAAATTCAATATTAACAGTCATACAAAATACACCAACTTGTCAGAAGTAGCTAAAAACAGATCTCAGTCCAGTCAGTAACAATATGCAAAAGACCCTTAAACACAGTTGGACAATTTACATCAGGGCTTTCCAGATGACATAAGGATGTCCAGTTTAGAAATGAATAATAGACAACTACTTCCAGTTACCCATAATCCTCCACCAGAGTCATTGGGTACCCTCCCCCACTTAGTTGCTCACCTCCCTTCCCTGTTGTTGTTTCAATTCTATAGCCAGATTACTGGAATCTGTTTTGGTTTAGTATTATCTATTCCTTTGTTTTGTTTCTTTATTTTCCACATACAAGTAAAGTCATCTGGTATTTGTCTGCCTTCTGAATTATTTATCTTAGCATAATTCCCTCCTATTTGATCCATGTTGTCACAAGTAACAAGAGCCCTTTTTTTTAATATCATAGTAGTATTCCATTGTGTATATATACCACATCTTCTTAATCCACTCATTTATCCTTGGGCACTTAGTTTCTTTCCACTAACTTGACTGTTAAAATAAGACTACAATTAACATAGGAGTGCATATATCCTTCAAAATATTTTTGTATTATTTGGGTAAATAACTAGAAGTGAAACTGCTGGATCATATGGTGGATCTATTTTTAAAACATTGAGAAACTGCTGCATTGTTTACCATAGGGGTTGGACAGGTCTACATTTCCAACAGTGTACAAGGATTCCTGTTTTGATATGTGCTGTTCTTGGGGGTGTGAAGTGACTTCTCGCTGTTTTGAGTTGCATTTCCTAGATGATAAGTGACGATGAACATTTTTTCATGTGCCAGTTCTCTATCTGTATGACTTCTTTAGAGAAATGACCATTTAGCTCTTCTGCCCATTTTTTTGATTAGGTTGTTTTCTTTTTGCTGAGTTTTTTTTAAGATCCTGGACATCAGTCCCTTGTCAGAACAAATGTTCCAGATTTTTAATTTTCCGAAACATCTCTTATAAAGGATGAAATAATTTCATCATAAGAACAGAATGCAGAATGAAGGGTGAAATTGGGATATTAAATTTCATTGCAGGTCTTATATCTGGAAAGTTCCAAATTTGTCTCTTTGGTGTCAATGGCAGTGTGAAATATAAGCCTTTAACTTTCTAACAGGGTTTCCAAATGCCTCTTCCTTATGGTATGTAGTATGTTCTTCCTTTCTCTCAGTAATTCTCCAGAGGTTAGCATAATAGGAAGATGAGAGTCAAAGGCCATGGGGGAGATGATCCTGGGCCATCAGCTATTTTACTACCAATTCTAGTTTCCTTAAGGGGTTTGAAACTGTCATTCTGCTCAAAGGTTTAAGTACTTATGACAGCCTTGGACAGCAAAAAGATAGTCGATTTTCCAGTGTAATAGTACTTGCATTGTAGTGACCACTACATTCATAAATTTCTAGCACTGATTCCCAGAGTGGCCAACAACAGGGCCTTCTTAGCATTACTAGAGTTTTGACATCATTTTCAGTATTTAGAAAATGGTCTTTTCCTCACCTCTCACAGTGATGGCCTTACTTTTTTCTTTTGTTTTAAATAAAATAGATTTGGACTTTTAGCTGTGATTTTAACACAGTATATACACATGTTGATTCTCAATAATGAGCTTATATGATGTTATAACATTTTACTTCAATAAAAATTTAATTTAATTTAATTTAATAGAATGTGGTTGCATTTCTTAGATATCTTAACCCTGCTTAAGAAAATTAATAAGGGCCTCCCCTGATGGCGCAGCGGTTGAGCGTTGGGCTGTGAAGCTGCCTGCAGCCTCGCAGTGCTGCTTTTATCCCCAGCCGCCGGCTAGGGTCCCACATGGCACGACAGACCTCTCCTCCCACGCCCGCTGCTCCCCTCATCAATGTATTTCTGTCCATCTGCCTGTTCTGTTCCCCGCTCTGACTCTGGTGAATTCTCTCACCCTCCCGCGCTTCTGACTGTATCCAGTGCTTGTATAAATAAATTTAAAAAAAAAATCTTTAAAAACAAATTAATTAATTAATTAATTAAGAAAATAAGAAAATTAATAAATTATGATGCTCTGAATAAGAAAATAATAAATTACTTGACATTATGAAAGGTTTATATACTCTTTAATGATATTTTTATTCTAAAAGTCATTTTAAATTTTCAGTAAAATATTAGAAAGTTTTTACAAATTGACTAAATACAATAAATAGATCTAAATGTTTGCAACTGCTTTCATGGATTTGGTTATTTAAAATACAAATTATTATACATTTAATAATGGGAAAGTTTCAATATCCCCAATAAATCAGTATAAAGCAGTAATATTACAATCCTTGTTGATAATATGTAAAATGTGTTTGGCTTACAATGACAGAAATATTTACAAAAAACAAAGAAAAAGCAAGTTGAAAATATCATATAAGAAGCTATATCTTCCTGTTACAAGAATAATAAATTCTAGGTTGTAATGTATAGCATGGTAAGTCTAGTTAATAATAATGTATTGTGTATTTATATTTGCTAAGTGAGTAGATCTTAAGTGTTCTCATCACACACACAAAAAGATGACCACTGCGTGAACTGATAGATATGTTAATTAACTTGATTGTGGCAATAATTTCACTATATATATGTTAAACCATATATATGTATGTTAAATCAACACATTTTGCACCTTAAAAATCATGTTGTGTAACCTGAATACATATGCGTTTCATTTATGAATCATACCTCAATAAAGCTGAAAACAAAATTTAAATATATATACAAAAATATACACCTGCATTTGTATTGATCATTTACTATGTTTTGAAAAAAAATCCTTCATGACATTGAAAATAAATCAGTTGTATACTTTGCTTTCATAGTTCTAAAAGTTAAAAAGTAAAGCATACCAGCCTTTCTTTTGTACATCTTTAGCCAACATTGTCTTCATTCCCACATATTTTCCCATGTCCTTATTTTTAAAATGATAGTTAAATATTAGAATTTCTTATACAATGTCACACATAGTGACAATTCTATAGAATAAATTAACATCTTTGTGCTTCAACATTTTTAAATGATAAACTTTTCTAAGGATACTCACCTATTTAAATTAGATACTTGATTTGTAAGGTAAACTGGGTGTTACTAAAAGTAAATTTATTTCAATAAATGCATGCACAGCTGTGTTTCTCAAATCAAGATTTGAAAGCAGGACTAAAAGGAAATGAGATGTGGCTCTTAAAAAGTGCAAAAGCTATTTCAGCCCTTCACTAGTTTCCAGACAGTAGGCAAAACTTTTTACGTAAATTATCTCATATAATCCTTACACTGAGAATAAGATAGTATTAATCATATTTTACAACTGATATTTATAAGACATAATACATTTTTAATGACAACTGTTAATTGTTTCTAACAATCATACTATGGAATATGTTACTTCATCAGGAACTTGAGTCATTTTGCCAGGCAAATCTATCCACAGTTGCTGCATTCCAAAAAGAAGATTTTCTCCCACCATTTTACATTGTTATTTCCATCACAGGAAAAATTATTGGAAAACTGAAATTTTAGTGACCAAACAGCTTCCTGTGGTTGTTCATCACATTGAATTTAATGGTAACTCAAACTCTGGTTCTGATTCCCACAAGATTGAATTTGTATATTTTTCTTGAGTCTGATCACTATTTGATATTTTTAAAAGTCATTAGTAAATAAGTGGGGAAGTACATATTTGCATGCCCTAATTCTAATGATCCCCAGGGAAATACACTAATGAGGACAGAGTAGTGTGGGGATCAAGGGCCTGGCCTCCAGGATCAGAATCCCAGACCTGCCATTTCCTCCAAATGACCTCAGGGAAACTTACTTTGTTGAACTTCAGTTTTAATAGTGCCTATTTCATAGGATTCCTGTAATGATGAAAGAGATCACATTATTCAAAGAAGTTTGAAAAGTGCTTTTCCTAGTAGGTTCTCAATAATTCCTTTTTTTAAAAAAATTCTTTTAATTGTGTTAACAGTAGGATTCTGTCAGGTATCACCACCATAGTATACCCACCACCAAGTCACCCATAGTCCACGCCGCCACAGTGCTTCCCTCTTTCTTGTTGCTCCCTCTTCTCCTCCCCCTTTTGGATGTTTCCATCAATAATCAGTTTTCAAGGGTTAGCTTTTAAGCTTGCCTTTCTCAGTGATTCTTAATGAGAGCTATACCAGTAGGTTGAGTAAGTGAACACATCAGTGATTATGCTCAGCAAGCTTCTGTCTGCACTGATATTAGTAGGAAAGACTGACTTATAAAAATCTTTTCTTTAAACACTGTGATTAAATGTTTTAGTGCCTCAAAAGATACCATGAAAAAAAGAAAAGACAACTCACAAATCAGGAGAAAACATTTAAATCACATATCTGATGAATAATTTGTATTGAGAATGTGGAAAGAATTCAATTCTATAATAAGAAAACAAACAAATCAATTTTTAAAATAAGCCAAAACATTTACACATACGTTTAAACAAAGAATTCCTAATAAAAACATCAAAGACACAAAGAAAAGATAATCCCTGCTCATGGATTAAAAGAATTAACATTGTTAAAATAGCCATTTTCTCCAAAGCAATACACAGATCCAGTGCAACCCCTATCAAGACTTCAACAGCATTCTTCAAAGAAACAGAACAATCATTACAGAAATTCATATAGAACCACAAAAGACTCTCAATAGTCAAAGCAATCCTGACAAAAAAGAACAGTGATATCACACTCATAGACTTCAAACTGTACTACAAATGGGTAATGAAAACAGCATGGTACTGTAATAAAAACCAACATGAAGAAAAATGGAGAATTGAGAGCCCAGAAATAAGCCCACATATATATATATATGGACAGTTAATCTACAACAAAGGAACCAAGAGTATACACTGAAGAAAGAAAAATCTGTTTAGCAAATGGTATTGGGAAAACTAAGAGCCACATGCAAAAGAATGAAACTAGGCCACTGTCTCACACAATACACAAAAATTAACTCAATATGGATTAAATATTTGGATGTAAGACCTGAAAACATTTTTGAGAAACAAAAATCTGCGTCTGAATTGAAAGAGGGAGACCCAGGCAAGGAGGCAGAAAGAGCAATGGCACAACATTGAGAGGTGTGTGAGCTGAGATACGTGGACAAGGAGGCTGGAGATGAAACTGAGGATGGCATCATCAGGGCTTGGTGATCAAGCACATTTTCTTTGACCCTAAACTGTCCTGCAGTGTCTCAGTCATAATTATTTCATTAAAGATCTCATAAGAATTGGCAGGCCACCAAGAACCTTAGCGATCATTTGTTTTTATTGTTGTTATCAATTATATGCCTAATTCACTAACATCTAAATATGAAATAAATATGGTCTACTCAATGTAGTGGATATTTATTGGAAACATATTTAAATTAGAATATATAAGGAATTTACTGCCTTCTTTTTCATATGAAGTGTGTTTGAAAAGGCATAAAGCTACAGAAACATTTATTTCAATAATAAACAAGTCTCAAACATCTTCTGCATTACCTCTCAAACCTTAGATTGGTGCTGTCTGATAAATAAAAAAGATCCACAAGAAAGTTCATTAGTCTAATCTGTTTCCTACTGCAGATTGGATGGAGTGAAGGGGGCCCAGGGATGGCAAGACCAACTCTAAAGCATGAAAAGACATGCAGTACTATAGGCCTGGATTTTGAGGGGCCTGGAAAGGACACTCATGAATAGAGGTAAATAAGACTTATTTTGCTTAGCATAGATCAAAGGAGGCATCTAGTGATCAATGATTTTTGAGTTGGACCTTGAGTCATTAAGTCCCATTAAGTCCCTAAAGGTAGAATTCGCATATCTGCAGTAACCTAACTTTTCAGAAAAGTCAGACAGAGGAAGCAGTCTCTGCACACCTTTCCTGAAACTATTTTCCTGAAACTCTACAACTTTCAAAAACCCTACATATTGTAGCAGATTATCAGTACCAACCTTTCTCTTGGTACTCACCTTTATATGCACACCCTCAGTTTCTTACTGTGAACACACTGGGCTCTTACTGAAGGCTTAAATCTCAGCTCAGGAACATATTAGGAGCACAAGCAGAACAGTCTAGAACACCAAGCCTAAGCCCAAAACTGCAACTTTCAACCCTGACCTGCGTTCCACTTGGCCTCCAGAGATTCCTGGATATTGAGAGTCAGTTAACCACAGAAATGGTTCATTATGTGTTATATATGCTGTCATCCTTCCTTGTCTTTCCCCACTCCCCTATGAGGTCTTCCTTTGATCACCACCTATTTGAGTTACCCATCCCTAGTAACAAATTACCCTGAAATACAGTAGCTTAAAATGACAACTATCTTATTTTGCCAATCAAGAATTCAAGCAGGTCCCCACTGGGGCATTCTTCTATTCTGTGTTGACTGGGGCAGTCAGTACTAGAGTCAGTTGATGGACTGACTGGTCAATAAGGTCCAAGATGGTTCTATTCCATGACTTGGCAGGGATGATTGCAAAACTGAATTCAGCTGAGACTGTTAACCAAAATCCTGACTTTTGGCATTTCCAATATGGTGGTCTCAGGATATTCAACTTCTCTGACATTGTAGGGCTCTCAGAGGGCTTGCTCTGAGAGTTAGTTAGGGGAAGTTACCTTTTTCTTAAGGTCTGGACCCAGAAACTAGAGAGTGCTACATCCATGGTATTGTGTTAACACAGAAAACACCCTGATTCAAGAGGGAGGACCATAGATCCATCTAGGAATCACAGGAATATTAAGTCAAGATCCGCTTCCAGTGAAATCCAAACTAAATTATGGGTGTTCAGAATATGCATTATAATCAAACACCACACCTCAGAGTTCACCATTCATGCAGTAGTCACACATTAGCTTATTTGAAAGCACATGGGTAGGCATGAAGATAGGAATTCCCCTATCTTTCTGAGGAGTTCTGCTAAACAGGGTAGATCCCATTCCTATATAATCCCATATCAACTCTCTTGAGAACATGAACCCTGGCTTCTTAGCCCACCCATGTCCATGCCAGAGCCTTGCTCCAATCATGGGGCATGTTTTTAAGGTTATTTCTCTCACTGGCCAACTGATGGCTCCAGGCACTCAATTCCCTCTCTACCTCACTTCTGACAGTCAGCTCACTGGGTTGTACTTGTGATTGCTGTTGATATTGATGGCCTAAAATGTATGGAAATGCTTTAGAGTGTAGGAACATGTTCAAAGCTTTTGGAGGCAAGAATCAGCTGAGTATGGTTGTTTAGGGTATATGAAAACATTTAACCTAAATTTCATTTTCTTTTTTCTTCACTTGTCTTTTTATATGAAGAAAGGATGACTTCACACAAAGGGACCTAACAGCTCTTAGAGACTCTCATACTACATCATATTGGGCATATTGTTTATACTACCAGAAAGAAAATTGTCATAATTTTCATGCTAGATTCCTGAAGATCTAGGAATTCCGTTTTCTGTTTTCAAGTTATTTTCTAAATAAGTAGGTTTTGAAAGAAATAAGGCCTATGTGACTTAGTTTCTTCTGACACACTGCAACACTAATCCTTCTATTATCTGCCCAATGGGAGTGTGAAAGGATTAAATGGAATAAGAGATGTAGAAATGATATGGAAGTGAAATACCAGAGTGTTGGTTTGGGTAAATGTCTAAATTCCTTGAGTGCAAAGGTCATACAATACCTGAGTCTTAATAAATGTTATAATTATTTGTTGAAATAAATAAAAGCATTGTCATTAATTCTACAAAAATACAGCTTGTGAAATGATGCAGGGAAAATAATGTTTCAATTTCACAGAATAAGAACCAGCAAGTACTTAGAATCAGCAATTAATTATCCACTAGTAAGACCTATTATGAATTGTCCCAAATTCATAAGTTCAAAGAAATTGCAAAGTATACAACTCTGAAAAATATAAGAAATTGTTGCCTAGTGCATTTCTAAGAAGGAAATTTTTAGTGGAATTAGAAATAGAAAATAGTGTGAAGAGATAATTTTTCTGTGAATCAGATGGATTATTTTTAGCTCTTAGGAAATATTGTAACAGCCACCATAAAAGCCTCTGGCTGGGATGTTTAAAGGTGAACATTTTCAACCTCCAACCAGGCAGTGTGGGGGAAGGGTGAGTCACTGTGCAAGAGAACAGGGAGTCATGTGGTCCAACTGTAAAATAGAAAAATTGCATGTAATTATTTTACAAGCAGAGTGCGATGATGTGAAAGGAAGAACTAATGATGATGCACTCAGCTTGTTAGAGGCTTTTCCTTCTGGGGAGCTCAAGGTTACAAGAAGTGCTGCTCACTGGAATTTTTTTTCTTTCCTTTCCCTGGATACATAATGCTACAATAAACCCTGCACAGAGGGGGTTAATGCTGCAAGGATGTTTTTAAATAATTTCTGTGACCAAAGCCGGAGATACAAGTCTGGCAATAATTCTCCCTGACTTCAAGCATCCTGTATTGATTGATTAATTATTCCACCAATGAACTAACAGGTATTGACCTTATCTGGTTGAGTAGCATTTAGCCAAAAGTCAGTAATCTACATCGATCACTTAATGGAACATCAAAGCTCAGCATTCTGACAGGTTTATGTCATTCAGCAAAAATCTGTCTATGTTTTGCTGATACCTTGACCTTTGGTATCAAGCAGTCTTTACAGAAAACGAAAAGCAATGACAAAATCAAATCTTGGAAATAGTGCTTTGTTATGTAAAAGGAAGTTCTTCTTGGACTGTTGCAAATAGCATTTGCTAAAATCCCATTGTGGGTTTTCTTTGCAAACTGAAAAGAATCATGCTAGTGATATTTGATATTCTGCTGAAGCATAAAAATATCAAAACAATGAACTCTTAGATAATTAACACTACAGCAGAGCTTCACAGAGGTAACATCCGACAAGTCACATTCTCTGGGGGAAGGTATGGAAAGAAAACTTGGGCCAATGATTCAGAATGGACAGAACCAGGTGAATCAGTCCTTGTACCAAAATTCTGATTCAAACATTCAGCCAAAACCACTGCTCCAATCAATTACCTACATCATCCTCAGACACTAGAAGAGTTATAATAAGCAACAGAGCACCATTTGATAATGTCTACACCTACCTTTACAATGAGAATTATATACTTTGAGAGCATATACAGTAAATGAGAAAAATACACAGTAGACTCTTAGTATGTTTCTGGTTCCTCCACATTAAGAAATTGGGGATGAAACCCTTAACCAGCATGATCAGGCGATGATGCCAGTACAGTTGCTCTGAAATCTCAGTACAAATGCTCTGAAATCCTCTTCTGTGTCTCTCAATACTACTATTAGTGCATAAAAATACCCACCACTTACTTCAGAAATCTTATTTTTAAATTTCAGTTTTTGCTTATGCACTTGACTCAAGAACAGTTACTGAACGCTAAGACTTGCCTTCTAAGGACGCTTTTGCTACCTTCTAATGTGTTAGATGGCGAGTCTTCTCATGCAGCGCTGTGTCAGGTAATAATGTGCTCTCTCCGTGTCTGCTCCTAAAGGCTGCTTTTGGTCTGAAGGATCCACCTTATAATGTGCTGTGGTGCTAAGTAGTTTGCCTATTGGGTTTAAAGCTTTTTAGTGTGAAGTATTATTCCTGCTTGGAGTCTTACTTAAAATGCTTTTCACAACTGCCAAGCAATTTGATTCATCATTTGTAGTGCCCAATATGACTTATCTGCCTGCATTTAAAGACAAACCATGGGTTGTGGCTCCACTACAGTTTGATAAATTTGATTTATGTCCATGACTTTTCTTAATTAAAGCTAAAGTTTCCCTTTACCAACAATGTTTTTCAATAAATGCTGAATATTTTCCTCTACTAATCTAATAATCACTGTCTTTATAAAAATGGCAAGGAGAGTTCAACCTGCATTCTGAATCTTCTATTCTTATCTATTATTTCTGTGGTACTGGCTATATTACAGTCATAGGTTTCCTTATCAGCAAAATATGGTTGTTGGTGTAGGAGAAATTTAAGTTCCATTCTATTACCTATATTCCTTAGGCCTCCTTGAACACTAACCAATAATTTATTTCAAAATATGTTCATCAGAAAGTTCATAAGAAAAGAAAAAGGAAAAAATATGATGGAGTGCCTTTTCCTTCAAGCTAAAATGAAATCAGAAAGGACAAGAAGTAAGAGACACTTTATAGTAAACTTAAATGACCACATGAAGTTGTGTGATTGACTAGTGGATAAACTTCAGTGCCTTTGGAACTGAAAGTTGATTTCATTAAGAATCTGACTAACAAACACATCTCACATGGTATAATAATCATGGAAAAAAATATGACATAAAACTTAGGATCATTATGAAAGGAAAGAGAACTTACACTTTCTTCACCTGGGCCTTCTGCATGGTTCATAAACTTTGATAAAGTTCATAAAATTATTAAAAATCTAAAACAGATACTTTCACATTAGACTTAATTTCCTCTTAAATATGATTAAATTTTATGAAGCTAGTAAAACTGCACATTTTTGTTATGATTTTGTAGAATGTATAATGTATTTTGTCCTAATAATACTTCTTTTAATTTAGGCATACATATTAACAGTGACTGTTGACTGACATTTTAGTAATTTATTTAGATTTTGTGTTGATTTCATATCTATGAGAGAATTTGTCTCCTTATATATTTTGCTCTATAATATAAACTAGTCAACTGAATTTACATTAATGCTTATTTATCTTCATAATATGTATCGTGTCCCTATATGTTAAGTAGAAGATTCAAGGTCCTCCTGGAGAAATAAAGATAAGACTAACTTTTCCAAAAGCGCTAACTTTGGGATTTTCATAATTTGAAGAAGAATTAATAAAACAAATTAACAGAATAGTCATCCAGTTGAGCAGGCTTATTCTAGGCAATTTGGGAAGGAAGTACATAAAGTGTTAATAAGTGTAACTAAACGAGGCACACTCATACTATTAGCTAAATTTCTATAATCCAGGTCATTGAAGAAAATGAAGAACCAAGAAATTAAATATATGGAGTCCAGAGAATCAATACCAACTATACTGCAGTTCAAGGCTCCCAAATGGCCTCAAAAGACTTACCAAATTTTGCTTTCCCACACAATGAAGAATTTCTGTTGCTCCCCATCCTTGTCAACGTTTGGTGCTGTCAGTGTTTTGTATCTTTACCATTCATTGTTTTAATTTGCAATTCCCTAATGTTGAGCATTCTTCTCAAATTTTATTATTGACGACATATACTACCAGTTGTTTTCTTTTGACAAGATCATTTCATTCATTTCCAGGGAGTGTGTCTCATGTACCCAAATCTGTCATCTGTTATTTAAAGTAAAAATGATGCCTTGGAGTTAAAAAGAAAAGAAAAGAAAAGCACCTAGTTTTACTTCCTTCTCAAATAACTGCACAAATGCTTTTCCCTCAAACAACCATATTTCTCTACACTTTATAGTAAACTATATGATTATAGTATAATGTTGTATGCATCCTTTCCATTTTATCCTGCAGAGTATTAAAAATACACATACTTAATAGTCAAGATTCAGTAAAGTTAATGTTTGTGCTTTATCATATGTAAGTTGAAATCTTTTTTAAAAAAAGTGAGTTCATGGCATTGAAAAATACATTGATGATTATATAGCTTCATGTAAGTGGGTTGATTTTATGCTGAATGATTAGCTTTACCCACCACCAATTTTGTGAAAAACAAGTAATGTTTTAGTGTTATTACATAAATAGTTTTGAACTTTGGACTCCCTGGAAAGACCTTAAGGATTCCCAGTGTTTCTTGAATTAGACTTTTAAAATTAATTAAAGTCCTGAAAATTTACTAAAACTTGCACACCCACATTCTAGACAAATATGCATACACAAGAAACTTCATATATGATGTAGGAGTTCATTGACAACAAAGAGGCCATCTATACACTAAGAGAATACGATGAATGAAGCCTGCTTAAGAGCTGTGGGGTTTGTTAGTTGTCTAAGTATAATTTCTATTACAGAATTTTGAGAAGTCTTAAAGTATAAGTACCTATATAAATTTTAGTGTCCAGAAATTATGTGTGCCACATGCAATGTTATAAAATGTTAAGAAAATCATTTAAATAATAATGATGTTTCTACAACCAAGGTTTAGAAATGTGATTTTTAAGAAATACTCAGTCCCTACCTTTAATTTCTTCCCTATTAAGATACTATAAATTATGAAGATCATTTATATTTGAGGTGTTGGTTGGATGCTGATTTTCTGGTGATTTCAATTTTGTTTTGCTTTGGTTTTCCTTGTCATGCTCACAAACAAGGGGGATAAGAAAGGTTTTCTATATTTGAGCCAATTGCTGTCAGTGAACTCATGAGAAGATCCCTTGAACATCAACCTTCAAGTCAGCTTCAAAGGTATCACAGAAGATAGCATGCAGGTACTGTGTTCCTTGTTTACCAGTGAAAGAGTAGACTATTATTGGTATTTTCAATTTTTAAAAACTATCAGCTTGGCATTTTTTTTTTACCTCTACAACTAGGAACACGTACTCACATCTTAGTAGATACATTTTCTGGGGAAAGGGAAAGTAGCCTTTTAATACCTCTTTGCACGTAAACTGGGCTTTATATACAGAAAGTTGGTTTACGTGGATAATAAACCTAACATAAAATAGTTATTTCTGGCAGCTAATTTGCCTTTATAGTTTATAGAGGTGCCTTCTTCATAATGGTACCTTCTGATTCTACTTTTCCTGAGTTCAGCAATCAGTGTCAATTACTGCTGGTTTCCATAGAAACGAGACAACTAACCATTTTAAAATCTTCATTCATGGACTAGTTTTACAAATAATGTAGAGTTTGGAATGACTGCCAGCTAAAGACATAATGTTTAAAACAGATGCCAATAAATTTAACCCTTCATATGATATTTAAAATTTTTTGTATAATTTTCAACTAAGAATAGAGCCACATTAAACATAGTGGTCTACAGTTTGATACTAACAGGGGATTAAGTGACCCTCCCCTAAAGGGATGTTGAATGAACTGTGCAATACGGAAGCAGCTGTTGAGCAGCCATGAAAGCTGAGTTGCTAGTCTCCACTCGCTACTGTTTGTCAAAAAAGTCTTGTTCTTACCAATGTTAAGGAAAATCCGTTTTTTCCTTAAAAATAATTGAGGTATTTAGAAAGAATTTCTACACCCCTCCCAAAATTAAGGAGATACACTAATAAGGTCATGGTATTAAAATGCATTCATGTTATTAAGTAGTGATTCCAGTTGTTAGTTCATTGATAAACAATTACTTATCATGTTGTCTTAGAACATTCTGTATTTAGAATATAAATTTAATACGTGAATTCTTTTAGTGTTATTTAATTTATGCATGCTATAGGTGTATATGATAATGCATTCACAATCCATTTATAGTACTTATTAATTAAATTAGTAACTAAATGCAATTACTATGAACAAACCAAATCAGAATCCTATCAATCAGTATATCTTTCTGGGATCTTTTTCAGCTCTATAACTTGCTTCAAACTATTTTCGAGTTCTCATTTTGTTTTGCTAGCATTGTTCCCATTGTTGGCATTGTGTAACAGTTAATATGAGGTCTCCATGTCATCTCTCCCATTAATATGACAGTAGAGCACTAAACTTCATGTAAACTGCAAAAGTAATAATCTGCTAATGTATTATGTAGTCTTAAGGTGCATTAAAAAGATGAACACTAGGGCCTCCCCTGGTGGTGCAGCGGTTGAGCGCTGGGCTGCGAGGCTGCCCGCAGCCTCTGCAGCACCGGTTCGTTCCCCAGCCGCAGGCAAGGGTTCCATAAATAAAAATAAATAAAATAAAATAAAAAGATGAACACTAGTTTTTAGATTCTTTGAACTCCCTATGAATTTTGCCTTGAGTTAACAGTAAAACTTCATATTCTTTCTCTTTTCTTAAGCACATGGTGTCACCTCTCCCATTTTCGAACCAAATCTGCTGGAGGTCCTCTGATATGATGGCACCTCCCACTTTGTTGCAGGATGTAATTTACAGTCATCAGCAGTGCTTTATCTGTGACACTAAAGTTAATCCAAACCTCACTTACCCTTTGAGCAGATTATGCCTTCAATTTGTAGGTTTGGTTCTAAGTAGAGTGTTTGCATGGCTGTTATGTGCCTCAGTGGGGTTACTTGTCCCACATTTGTTAATGTCAGGAGTTTGCCATAGCTGGAGCTCACTGTTATCTAGCATTTCAAAGGCAAGTTAAAAAAACCCAGCAGGGCCCAGCTGAAATATTTTCTTTCAATACAGCCAAGCTGCAGGCATAAAACACAATAGTAAAATATACAATGGAACAAAGTAAAAGGCCTTTATAACAGATCTTTGTCATGCGACTGCAAGTATTTCATAACATCAGCTACTGTTTTTCTCAATTGACATCATATAGGTCTCAGTTAATGAAAAGAGACATGGAGCATATTGCATCAAATAGATGCTGGACAGGAAACAGAAAATGGATCATGAATCTGGGCCCCCTAGCTAAAGCAGTCAGATCTCTGAATAGCAAAAGGACTAATGTGTTTTAGCTGTTCTCCCTTCCAGCCATAAACCCAAGAGCATCATTGAAAGTCTTTTCTTTTCTAGGCTGCTCACCAGCCCCCTACCCACCCCACCCCACCGTGAAAGCCAGTCAGCAAGGATCAAAAACATTTCCTTTTAAATGAATCATGGCAATCCAATAAAGATGCAACACGCAGATTATGTTCAAATCAATGACAGGACCATAGCCAGTATCAGCAGGCCTCAAGGAATAGAAATTGCTCACAGTCAGGGGGTGTCTGTCCAATAATGAGCTATGGGCCTAAACACAGAGCACATGCTAGGCTCTGGGTAAAATCCCTCAAGCTTCTACTGTTCTGGTTTCTTTAAGTAACTTTGTAGTGTTACTCTGTCCTCATACTTACCCTCCCCAGATGGGCCATGATGACTTAGCTTAGCTTCTTGAAGGGGGCCTTCAATAACATGGTTACATCCAGGAAAGACAAGCTGACAACTGTAATGCTAACACCTAGAAATAAATGTTCAGATAAACAGGGAACAGGATTGATTTGAAAGAGTCAATTACTATGCATGACCATTTAGAATCCTGAGAAATGAACACAAAGATCATTTAATGTTCAGAGCACTGACCAACAGCTACCTGTCAATTGTTCCTTTTAATGGCTATTCATTTCAAATATTTGAGATAGAAAGAGATTTTCCTATTTATAAGGCAAAGGGATAAAGCAGGATTGAGGATATTTTAAATATATTACTGTGTGTCTACTATACTCTTTCATTCTTTAAAAATACTAATAGCATCAGCTAATCAAAAGACCTCTCTAATTTCCTTACACAATTCTTCCCTGGAACTTGTTATTATTCTTTTCATTTAACACTGAGAATTTTCATACTGCATAGAAAAGATAGAATAATGACACTGGGTTTCAATCAGAGATATCAGAAAACACACTTCAGAAGATAAGGATTTGCATTCCAAGGAGGTGTTAAGACCAGACAAGTCATTTATCCTCCCAGAACCTCAGTTTCTTCATCAGCCACATCTCTTCAACTTTCAGTTTTCATTTTCAGATCTAAGAGTGTGCTTCCAATTAAGAGAAAAGCAGTCGCAAGTCTTTCACATTCAATCAAAAGAAAGTTTATGACCTTCAGACCCTTTTAAGAGCATTTTGTGTGCTATATAAAGATTTGATAACCAATGGCTATTTTTCTTCTTACATATCAAAGAAATATTATTAATATGAACCACCTTCTTTAATCCATTACTTACTAATAGCCCCTTTTATGATTAGCCTGAAAGTCTAAAATAATAACTCAAAACCAACTGCTGATTAGAAAACTACCTGCTTCTGAGGACACTTCTACTTCCTCTAAATTCAGCAGCCCATTATACTTCACATTCGTATTCTTGGGATTTACTGAGAACTGTGAACCATCAGGGCATATGGCACAGTTATCCTCTCTGGGATGATAGAATCAATTTATTCCAAATAGAAAGAACTTATCAGATCTAGACGGATCTCTGAAACACCTGTAAGATAATTTAGATTCACAGCAGTAATAAAATAGCAAACAAATTTCCCTCTCCTGAAAATGATAAATTACTGTATTTCATTGAGCAGACCTTTCCTTATCTGATTTGTTTTAAAAATGAAAAATATGTGTCCATAAATCTGAAGGCAACCCAGGAGTCACCATCTACCTAATTGAATCAGAGCTTATATGATTCAAAGAGATAAGAACACATTAAACAAATAAGGATATTTTACATCGCAAAAGTGGATTTAGAATTCACCTTCGAAAAACACAGGGTGAAATATATTACTCAAA